AAATTTCCCATGCAGACGGCATTGCTTTCCTTTGATATGGGGTTAATTACAAAAAGTATTGTTTAGCTCTTATTCTATTATGTTATTTCTCAGAGATTTGATCTGGATTGGATATATAGAATTTTAAGTGTTTTGAGTACTTTAATGGCCGCACAGAACTGCGTTAACTGAAATATTGCAGACGATACCAGAATAAATTTAGCAGCTTTCAGCCTTCCATTTCTCTTGATTTTAAAAGTCTGCCATGGAATTTTTTAATGGTTACTACATTACCTTGTAATCTTTAGAGGCCAAAATACTATCATAGAAAATAATTCATATTACAGGTATAAAGTTGCCTGCTTCCAGATGCATAATTGATTTTAATGCGAATTTCAAAGGAAATATCCATTTAGACAAGTCATTTTCTGCGGCACCTTTTCCAAATGACTTTAATATAATTTTGGCATGGCATGTTGAAATTTAGCAAAAACATTTGACATACAGCGTCTTTAAGATTTTATTGGCTGCGAAAAAGCATGATAATCAATCCCTTATAGACAGACTGTGACTGATGGCATACTATATTAGTTATATGCACAAAAATTATGTTTTTTCTCTGAATCATGAATTGTCTATAATCCATAAAGGAACTTCACATACCGTACGTTGAAACGCTTAAAACATAAAATCTGAAATTCTTACATACAGGGGCACTTAAAACAGGAAGATGTCAAAAGATAATTAATAAAAAGACACAGAAAAACTGAAAATCATATTTTTGTGCTATTCATTTGGCAATCCTTTTTTTAAAATTTGGTAACTTAATTTTCACAATTTATTTCACAATAATTATTCTGGAAGAAAAAACAGAGCAAGCGAATGATAAAGATTTGTCCACAAGGTCTTGGTGTAAGACGTACATTGTATGGAACACTTATCTCGAAAAATTATTTCCAGTCCCGTCATGTCAAAAAAATTCAGTGGAGTCCCTTTAATAATGCTCGAACCGAAATTGGTTTGCTTAAAATAGGTCAGCCAGACTGCACATTCATTCTTATAGAGCATCTTGAAATTTTTGTACTGTAATGTTGAAATCCAATTTTAATGGAAGTAATGTTCAAAATTCAAAGTGTAAGACAAGACTTCAGTTACTCAAATACAGCAGGTTAAATATAATGTAATGATTTTTTCATCAATTTATTTTACAAATGACTCAGTATCATGAACCTCTGCAATTTCATCCTGGCTTTATATGGTGTATAAAACTCCATTATCTATATAAAAGTACATCACCCTGTGAAATAATTCTCGAATTTAATTACCCGAGTCTCAGTGCTTCCAATTTTGTTTGTTGTACATTCCTGAGAGTGTATAATTAAATCAGAGACATGTTTCTTACATAATAAAAACAACAGGAGAAACAATGAGGGAGTAACTCTATCTTGATTTACTGAGGAAGTTATAAAAATAGACTGGTTTTTCATACATAAATCTTATCAAATAGTCTGGTTCCAAAGTGTCTATATAATATAATATGTGTCCAGTCGAGGCGTCTAGTAGATCACCCAGAATTCTCTTGTGTACATTAGATATAAATCATAAATATCCTTATCGGTATAATTTAGTTTGGCAGGAATTTGTTATGGTCATTTCCTAGTCGCCAGAATAATGGCTGGAAATTTGGTAATGGTCATTTTTGGGTAGCCACTAAGGCTAGAGATTGTACAATGTTGTAAAGTTAGGCCAGTGATTTACTCGTCTTGGTTTCATGTGGCTTTATGTTTAGATTTTTGATAACAATTTTTATTTCTATGTGTATGTATGAGCTAGGTTGTTGTTCAATTTTCATCTACATTTTCAGTATCACTTTATAAACATTAAAAACACATAGATAATAACTATTGATAATCTTTTATAAGGTTAAAGGAAAGTTTAAAAATAAGTATTGACTGTATAGGAATTAGTGCAGACCATGATCAGACGAATGTGCTGGTAGATCTTGGTCTGCACTAGTAGCATTTTTCTTGTCCAGCAGACAAAGATTTTGTTTGTTTGGTTTTATGGCCCATCAATACAGTATAGGTCATATGGCTTCGAAACAGGCAAGATGATAGGCTAGGAGTTAATTTAGTTTTATATATACTTATGTATATTTGTTTTTGCTGTAAACAACACAGTATATCTAACTTTGTTTTGGGGATGAAAATTTGAAAGAAAAAAAGTTTTTTATAACTGATCCTATAATAGAGAAGAATTAGTACATTGTGTTCAGATGTTTTCTTTTTCATGATGTGTAAACTGTTGGCACATCTACATTTTTTTTTCTGATCTCATGTCTACTCCCATTGATTAAGTAATTACTGGTGATTTTTTCTCTGTCTTGGCCACAGCCAGTATGGCATCGGAAAACAGATTTAATTAGCATTTTTGACCAATGATTTTCCCCTATACTGTTACTGCCTGGGACTTGCTGGCTCCACCAAACATAATTCTGTCATGTGCGCAGAGTTCATCAATTATAGATTGACCATAGTGAATGTTTGAGTCTGACCATCTTGGCACCAGGATACATTCCCCCCCCCCCTTTTCCTACAGGGGGGGGAAAGATTTTCATATTTAGTAAGCCATAAACTGACCATACAAGATTACAGGGTTTGATATTTTGGCAAACAGTGGGATATAATAACGTCTTTACGTCGCCAGGGGAGAAGTCAATAGTCAGTCTCTGACCAATCACTTCTCCCTATAATTTTTCTGAAGTGATGGTTTTGGCAAAATTGCCGAGAATAGTGTCTCCAGGGAGTGCCTCCTATACCCTGGAAATCGTATTAAATTTGACAACTGATTACCCATACATCCACTGGCTATTTCTGAAATCTTTATTTTGGCAACAAAGTCCATTTTTGTGTCTCCGCTAAACATTCCAACTAGTCTATGGCATGATGGTTGTCTAACGAAAGCGGTTCATATTTCCGAATAGATAACTGACCAGCTTAGTGCAGTTCCTGAGGATATTTCGAATTTCCATAAAATATTTTTCTCCGATATTTCTGTTCTTATTTGGCTGTATTTAGTTGCGTGGATATTGTTTAGTGCATTATTGGTGCAACAATCTCAGTCAGGCTGTCTATGGTTGGGAGTAAATGCGTTTTGTTGTGTTTACATTCTTTATTCTTTATTTGTTATTCAAAATAGATAGAATTTTTTGATATCATATCAATTTATTTTTTTGTATTATGACAAACATTTTGCCTTCGGAATGAATTTCATTTGGTGCAATGTTAGGAGAATATTTCGAACAGAGATGTAAATTTCTGTAAACAAATATGAAAGTGTTAAGGAATAAAAATGATTTTTTTTTTAATAGGAGATATGAATCATGTTTTCTCATTTGTCTGTTCAGCTGTCTGTTTGTTAATGGACAATACAGTTGAATATGTGTGCGTGTGTGTGGTGCGGGGATGGGGAAGGGCCCGGGGGGGGGGGGGGGGTGGTGGGGTGGGGCAGTGGTATCCATGTGTTATGACACATATCCTTTTCATTTCTTAAATGAGTTTGTTTTCTTATAAAAATGTACATGTCCCTCTAGGGAAGAACACAAATGGTATAGTATTAAAATTTAAGAAAAATTAAAAAAAAAAAAAAAAAAGTATGATATGATATCCCAGTGAACTATCAAAGGTGTGTTATCACTAGAAATTATTAGTTTCATGAGGATCAAAGGCAACATATCTTAATTTTTTTTATGAGTAAGAATACCGCAAAAAAATATATGAAAGTATAATTTAGGTCAGCCATTAAAGATAGTTAAAGGAATGAATTATTATGTATGTTACTATAAGACCCAAAAATATACCAAAAAAAATATGTTACTGTGCTAGTACGACATGGTAAGATAAAAGCATAACTGAGACAATAGTCTTGTCAGTGTATGTAAATAGGGACGTACGACACGATGTAATTTATGTTAAAATAGAGCTGACAGCTTTACAAAACACACTATTACACGCTAAATTTGTCCGTACTCATTGTACAACATATACTGGCTATTAAGTCGTATAAAAAATCAAGGCTATAGGTAGGTTTGTCCACTCTATTTTCCAAATAAAGTATGTTCATAATTGTGCTTGAGTCGTCAGTATTGCCGTTACGGTCGCCCCACGTATAAACGTTAAAACCATTCTGTCTACAAGCATCGTTGTTGACATAGTTTTGTCCTCATTTATAATTAACGACACTTTTTGTCGCCAGGTTTTGTTGTGTGTTATTTTTTTTTTTCTTTGACCAAGCGTCAATAAAGAAAGTTCAAGTTTCTAGAGCCCTATCTATTAATGTTTATGATATTTATATATAGGTAAAGTTAAAAATAATGGGGCGACTCCAAGTGTTATAATTATAATTATATTATACATGTATGTACTAAATACATTCAACGCACCAAGTTTGTCATTGTTTTAAAAGGCCTATTTTATGATTTTGATATTACTGGGGTCAGAATGAATATGTCAAATGATCCAAACTCTGGTTTGACTACACATACATGACACATTGTGTTGTAAATGTGTTTTGTCTGGTATTACTGTCTGTCACATTTAAAGTATCATGATAAAATGAAAAATGGTAGGTCAACAACAGTAATAACAAATTGAGGAATATCTTTTATTGCTTGCTCTGATAAATGAAAAAAGAATGATGACAAAATCTTGTTCATTTAAGTTTATATCACTGTCAGTGATACACTCGTCAGAAAAACCAACACAATTTTATGCAAAGAGAGATAAAAATGTAGACATCGTGAAAAATCAAGAGTTGTGTCCCTTGATATTTGTGTCTTCATGATTCATATGAAGTGTTAATTCAATATAGTTTAATCAGAATTTAAGTTCCATGTAATTTAGCTAGAAAAATGATAATAATATGAACAATGAAGATTGGTTGTATGTTTATATAACAGAATTATAATAAATCATTTAAATAATAGATAAATTATTCAATTGTCTTACTTTGTATATTTTCAGATATCTCAGCGCAATTTGCTAGCGGAGTTGAAACCGGTCAGAGTACACTAAATGGTCACTGGTGTACGTTAGCGTACTGGGAGTTGCGGCAGCGCATGGGTCGTCTTCTTACCGTGTATGAGACGTTTATAAATATTTACGAATATCTACCTCGTGGTGACGGTTTATGCCTTCATGTCTTACAGGAAAATGCAGAGACAGAGTCCGTGAGACGAACTAGAGAAAAAATAGGTTTTGGAGTGATTTTAAGTCGCGAAGGTGACGCAGTGTGGCTTTATAATCGGTCACAGTTTGCCATATTTGTTCACTCGCCGACGTTAGAAAATGAGAACGGACGGACGTTAAATGTTCATAAAGTGATGCCTGGATATTCCTTGAAGATTTACGATTACAATCGTAGACAGTTTCTCGACAATATTCATGACCCAAAATATCTTGACGGGCCGTATGACCCGTATTCGATACGAGTTAGTTTTGCTAAAGGTTGGGGCCCACACTACTCACGTCAAGTTATTACATCGTGTCCTTGCTGGTTAGAAATTATGTTGAATATAGACAGATGATAGCGGATGTCACGATGAACACACAACTAACAAAACATTCTCACAGGATTTATAAGTCAATTCTTGCAGTCTGAAGTCAATTCTTGTTGTACAAACAACAAATAACCTGAAAACCCTAGCAACCAGAGTTAAAGATGGAAAACAATAGAATTATCATCTGATGAATTACTTTTTCACATACATATATACAATGTATATTTCTTTTGGGCATTAAATGGAACTATTTTATTCTATTTTGTGTAAAACTGCTATTTTATCTCTGTTGGGCATTTCACTGAATTGAAGAATATTAAGAAATTAGTTTAATTAAATCAATCAAAAATACTGCTGATGTATTGTTAATCTTTGTTTTTAGAATTTTTCTATCTGTGAGTCACACCTTTATAAGGACGTAAATTTTTTCATCCTTTCAAATTAATGCCCATAGAAAAATTATTATATAGTCAAGATTTACTTCCCTTTGTTTTCTAAAGACTGGTTACCGTTACTTTTTAAGTGAAGATTTCTTAAAGAAAGTTTTAAAAATGGAGTCGGTATACAGTCAGCTGATTGTGTTTGGTGCGATAATGAATTTGATATTAAGTTTTTAGAGCTAAATGATATATATCACAAAATGTTTTATCACTGAATTAAACTGTTTTTTATGTATAACTAATCTAAGGGATTTTTATATAAAAGAAAAGCACCAGTTGTTTCTTTTAGAATTTTATTAAAGATATAGTGAACTGTATCAATGGTTGAAAATATATATAAACTTGGTTTTATATTATAAAAATTATCATTTTAACATACAACATTGTTTTACCTCACTATTTGAAAAGTTAAAACATGACATTTGAAAGCTCAGGTTTTAGTTCATTTTTTTTCTATATGCTATAAATAGATTGTTTTGTTGTAGTTATTAGTGTATGTGTTTTAACATACTTTTCTTAAGAAAATTCTCTGTTATTGTTTTTTTTTTTAAGAATAAAATTTTTGTCAAAAGAATGGTGTCTTAATATTTAAAATTTGTTTCTTGTTAGTTAAGATTTTATATTTCAATCTGAAGACCAGTCAAGGAAAACTGCTTTGTCATTGGTCAGTTTTGAAAAGATCGTGTCATAATGAGCCAATCAGATTTTGTTTTTATTAAATTATTTAGACTGGTCTGCAGATTTAAACTTCCTGGAGCTTTTGTTAGGTAATTTACCATAATGTGCCTTTATTTTGCTTGTTAGATGGTTATTTTGAATATTTTAGAGCCAGTTAAAGCCGTTCATTGACATATATGTTTAAATTCTTAATAGTGAATTATGAGAATATAGCTTAACCAGCCTGGTATTTGAAGATGCAGCGTTCTGTCAGTGAAATATGAAATATATCATTACATGTGGTAAACCACATCTTAAATTTGTATTAAATATCTAACTTCTTGTCTGTATGACAGTATATTTTTTGTTCACTACTGTCAGTGAAATATCAAAAATATCAATATCTTCTACTAAAAACAAATTTAAAATTGCTTTTATATGAAAAGTTTTAAGTTCACTTTTGGTAAAGGTCAAGTTTTGAGACAAAACCATAAAAATCAACAGTTAATTCATCCTTTGACCAATGATCTAGAAAAGCAGAAAATCAAGTCATTTCTTTTTTTTTTTGGTTCTCTCTTTTCCCAAATTTTATAAATGAGCATTCATGCCATATACACTTACTCAACTAAAACTTGGAATAGAACCAAACATTTTAATTCCTCTTATCGGAGGTTGGCTCATACTGGAAACAAAAAACATCAACTTTTCTTTGGCACTGTATACCAAGCATTTTAATTTCATGTTAATTTTCTGGGATATTTTTTTTGTCCTGTTTTTGTTTTTCTTTTCTTTCTTAATTGCTCTTTTAAAAAATCAAATTTTAAATAAAATAAAAAAGTGCCTTTTTTAACTAATTTTTTTTGTTGAATTTTTGTTTTGTTTTGCTATGGTAAAGTGAATATACTAAAAAAATATTAAAGTTTTAGAGAAATTGATAACTTATCATGGAACTACTTTTTTGATGTGATTGAGATGAAACAAAACAAAAAGGAGTTCCATTTTGAGATTCAATTTTTACTTTTCTTTGATAAATTATTCAAAATTTCTTATTCAATGAAATTTTTTTTAGAAATGTTCTTTGATATTAAAAAAAATAAAATTTCCAATGTAAGTCAAACAAAGTATATGCAAATGGGAAACTGAAATTTCGCTGTTCAATGAAAGTTTTTGCTTTACTCTCGTAAGATCTTGGTTGTGATATTTTGTTTATTTTTTTTTTGTTTGACTTGGAATAAGATATTAAAGAACTTTGTATAAAGTTCATATTTTCTTTAGTACAGCAGATTTTTAAATAAAAGTTTCTTTATAAAATACAAAATCTATGGGATTATGGCCAGCTTCAACTTTTAAAAGGTTTTGTTCGGTTTTTGTTCATGAATAAAAAATTTCACAGAGTTACAGCCCCTCAATAATGACATATTTTGTTTTCAAATCATTGGCTGGTTTATAACTATACAGAGTTTCTGTCATTTGTAAGAATTATTTTAATACCATAATAATATCTAAGAAGTCAATGTATGTTGAATTAAAATGTACTCTTGGAATAGGATGGTGTCTTTTAATTGGTGCAAAAAAATTTTTTTACATCCTTTAAGATTAAACTCATTTCCTTATTTAATGTCATCAAAAGTGCACATGTACTTTAAGTACAAAAGTACTTTACAATCGACTTAACATTATAACATCATTCAGAGATAGTGCATGCCCCCTTGGAAAAATCGTAATCTTGTATTTACCTCTATATGTCTCTATACCGTTGGCACACAACTATTAATATTTAGCATCTCAGTGTTTAAAAGGATAGAAAATTCGGAAGTTAGAAAAAAAAATTGAGCAATGAAGTCTCGTAATTTTTTGGCAGTGACTTCTTTTTTCATGTGTATACAAAGTGTGTGGTATCCGAAATAATACAATTAATTTGTTTTTAATCAGGCAAATAAAACGTTTTCAAGGGTTGAAAGTAAAGGTTTCAAATGCTGTTTCATCTAAAATCCCAAGAAATTTAATCCTTGATTTTAATTGTTTGAAAGCTAGTGGTGATTATAATTTATAGCATATGACACCATTATAGATCGAGCAGATCGAGAGCGTGCACATCCGTGAATTCTGACTAGACTGTATAATTCTGTAGATTGGATTTAAATTTCTTGGACGAACAAATGTTCGGTACCAAATTAAAATGACAGTGGAAAACGGAGGTATTCCGTTAGGTTAGTTACGACCAAGGTTTGTGCTCGAAAGGTTGACATGTGGTGACCTATATTCAGATTGTTCGTTCATTGACTTACCCAGAATTCATTGTAAAATGCATTATAAAAGTTTCTTCTACACGGGTTAAATTTTGAATCTTCATTTTCATAATGATTTTTTCTTTTTCTGTTTGATACGAAACTATGTATTTTTTTCCTGTGATGGTTTAACGTCACTTTCGCCCCATAAACTTTATCATTGCCTTCTACTGTTTCATTTAATGGTGACTTCCTGTTACGATTCTAAAGATATTGTATTTCGAGAATCATTAGATTTTTTTTTTTGTTTGCTCGAAGATCACATGGGAAAAAAATCTTATCTTGAAAATTTTTAATGAATCGTAATACACAGAAAGGTATTATTCAATTTTTAAGTTTTTCATTTTGATTTCGGAACTTTAAAACAAACAACCCAAAAATATATTTTATCATTATCCAAGTTTTTAAAATAATAAATTTTATACTGTTTCATTGTTTTGCCTTGTGCCAGTTTCAAATTAGAACAAATTTTATATATCTTAGTTTCACCCATAGATTTACTGTTCATTAAGGCCATATTAAGAAATAATGTTTGTTTGTTATGTTGTTGTTATTAAAGCCTAAAAATAAATCTTTTGAACATTGTGCAAAAGAATGACTTAGTCAAAGGTCAATAGAAAAACATATTTCACAATGTAACATGATATCATAGGATCATTGCGTTGGGTTAAAAAGCAGCAAACAGAATTATTTTTTGATTTGGCCTTAAATTTTAAACTTTTTGTTAGTGCCATATTATGATAAAGTGTTTTGTTTTAATGGTATACAATAAGTTTTAGACTTTTACCTTCTTTTACCCCCATTTCTTAAGTTCTGCAACATTCATTTCTTTAAATTTGCAAAGCATAAAACCATAATTATGTTTAAACGTTGATATTTATTTTAAGGAATATAAATATATCTTGTTTTTATTTAGAAATTTAATTCTGGCAAATATTTGACTGTTGAATTAATATTAATATGGAGAATAACCATAGACTTTGGAAGACAAATATGCTTGTTGATTGTTTTAACTGTCAAATCTATATAATTATAAATTCAATGATTTTATTATTGTCAGGAAACATCAAGTGATATATTGTGATGTCTGATTAAAAAACTATGAATAATTAATGTCAGATAATGATATTGTTATTTTTTTTATATAAACAAGTTGTATATCAATATTAGGCTCGTATGGTTCAAGGAACCAGTCAGTTAATGTTATAATGTTTTAAAATTGATTTAGGGGAACCAGCCTTAAATATTTCATGTATTATATCAATGCTCTTTGATGTTTCTTGTTTATATTTTTGTTTTTGATATGAATGTCATTGTTCTTGTCATTTTGATTAAAATTTGTCATAAATACTCATCCATAAGTCGGTTTAGGGAATAAGTTCTTAATTTTTACCAGTTGTTAATTATGTTGGGATCAAGTCCTGCATAGACTCCTTTCTATAATTCTTCTTTTATTTCTTGACTTTCTTGACCTTATTTACTTCTTAACAATGTATGACCTTATTAACTTCTTCCTAATTTATGGCCCTGTGACATTAAAATGTTTATGAAATGCCCATTATATTGAAGTTAAGTTATTAAGATATTTTCCTAATAACCCCTGTCTTATCCTTGAAATTTATTAACTCAGACTTATGGATGAATATTTATGGTACATATGTACTAACTACCAGTAATTGGTGGTTGTAGAAAAAATAATTATGAAAAAATTCAAAAAATGAATAAAAATATGAAAAAATATTTAAATGACTTGTGCTTATTTTGTAATGTCAATTCTTTGATGGCGAACAAGTAATGCACTAAATACTTCCCGGTAAGCGTCAAGTGAGCCTCATCTCGGTAAGCCTCATCTCGGTAAGCCTCATGTCAGTAAGCCTCATGTGGACTACTTTTTCTATGCTGCATTTAGTCATGGAAACAAAGGTCAAGTTAGTTACAGTCCAATATAAAATGTTCACTACAATTTTGCTGCATGAAAATACATATATGAAGATGGCCAGCATTAAAATATGTTTGCATTGGGACTTGTTATAGGTCAAGGTTTGGCTAATATTTCAGCCATGTTCTCTTACACTAAACCACTTGTCACACCTTGATGGAATTGGATTTAAAAAATGTAGCAGCTTTTGTCAGAAGATTAGAAGATAATTCCAGAATGTGCACCTTATTGCAAAGGAGAGCATAAATGTTTACAATCCGATGTATCTTAGATATAGATATACTTAGTGGAGAAATGATAATAGTTTTAAGTAAGAAATCTACAGGGGTGACCATGCCCGAGTTGTTGAGGTTGTTACCTTTGAACTTCTTTCCTCTACAGTGGGTAAGGACCCAAGCAGGGCCTTGAATTCTATTGCATGAGGAAGATCTCTAGCTTGCCTGCAAAACATTGGTGGTTCTACTTGGTTGTCAACACATGTCTGAAATATTGCATGGGGTCTTCCTCCACCAGTAAACCCAAAGATCTCTAGCTTGCCTGCAAAACATTGTTGGTTCTACTTGGGTGTCAACACATATGGGGTCTTCTTCACCAAGTAAACCCAAAGATGCAAAACATTGGTGGTCCACGCATATCTTAAATAATGCATGAGGTCTTCCTCCACCAGTAAACCCAACAAAATAAATATATAAATGTTACTGAAGATTGTGTGTCATACAATTATTTCGTGTCATACTGACATTATTAAAGTCATTTCACAAATTTTCTGCTTTTGCAATTGTCCCCAACCATAATGGTCACTCCATAAATGACCCCAGATAAAGGCAGGCATTTGGAATAAACAATGGCCTTTTAACAAGCCAATCTAACAGTTTTTGCACATGAATGCAGCAAGGTTCAAACCTTTCAAGAAAAGGGAAAAAAGGTCATAGTCACCATCCATAGCCACTCAGCCACAGAGGTACAAGATAACAAAATGTTATACATGCAGATTTATCAAGGACATGTAACTAAATAAGTGTTAACATCAAGAGAAGGCAAGTAGGTAAGTTTTTACATCAAGAGAAGGCAAGTCAGTAAGTGTTTACATCAAGAGAAGGCAAGTCAGTAAGTGTTTACACCAAGAGAAGGCAAGTCAGCAAATGTTTACATCAAGAGAAGGCTATGCAAGTCAGTAAGTGTTAACATCAAGAGAAGGCAAGTCAGCAAATGTTTACATCCAGAGAAGGCAAGTTAGTAAGTGTTTGCATCAAGAGAAAGCAAGCCAGTAAGTGTTTACATCAAGAGATGGTAAGTCAGTAAGTGTTTACATCAAGAGAAGACAATGCAAGTCAGTGTTAAAATCAAAAGAAGGCAATTCAGTAAGTGTAAACATCAAGAGAAGGCAAGTCAGTAAGTGTTACCATCAAGAGCATGTTACACAGTTAGTGTTTACATCAAGAGAAGGCAAGTCAGTAAGTGTTGACATCAAGAGCATGTTACACAGTAAGTGTTTACATCAAGAACTTACTGTAACTAAGTGTTAACATCAAGAGCGTATAACTTGGTTAATGTTACACCAAGAGCATGTTAGCCAGTAACTATTACACCAAGAGCACATAACTAATTTAGTGTTCAAATCAAGAGCAGGAAACTCATAACGTGTAACATCAAGTACATGTTATTCAGTAATTGTTAAATTCAAGAGCATGTAACACAGTAAATGTTAACATTAAGAGCATAAAACTCAGGGAGTGTTGAAATAAAGAGCATGCCACTCAGTGTTAACACAGTATGTTACTCATTAAGTGTTAACATCAGAGCATACAGTAACTAAGTAAGTATTAACATCAAAATCACATAACTCAGAAAATGTTAACATCAAAAGTAAATAACTCTGAACATGCTGAATTTCTTTAATGAACAATGGCTTTGATTTGAACTTGAACTGATTTCAATATTGAAAAAAACCGAGCTACCTCAAATTGTCCTCAATGAATATTGCTGAGTTCTGTAGATTTGCATTATCATTCAAATTCTGCACACTATACCAATTTCTAAGAAAATATTATAAAAAATTAAATATTATATAATGAATATTATTTTGATCGTCAAAACGTGAAAAATTATATCATTGGTACAAGGGAGGTAACTTGCTAAAATAACTTTATTGTTTCATCTGCAGTATTGTCCCTTAGTCTAAATCCTTTATTATGAAAAGTTATATCTGGTCATTGGTCACTTTGAACGAGACGTTTCCATTTTGATCCGACTGTTTTTTTGTCATAACTCTTCCTCACCAACACTTTCGTCGTCACTTTCAAACCCTTCATTGACGGCAGCTGAAAGAAATAATAATTTTATTAGCTTCACAAAAAATAATATCATTGAGTTCATTCTAATGACAATACACTCCAAATACCGATGTAGGGAATAATACTGATGAAAGGGAAAATAGTATTTATAGAAATTTTACTGATCAAGCAGAACGTGTTTAGGTATAGTACCTATTATAAAAAAGTCACACTGTGACGTCATTCTAATTATGTAGATCTACATTAAATATTTGCCTGAAATTTAAGTTCCGGTTTATCACACATGTATGGAGTGATAAACTATATCGGCTAAAATGAAGCTGATCTAAAAATAAGAAACATACACATAATTCTTAAAAATCTGGGACGTCTTCTATCTCCATAAATATCAGTCAGCGTTCTCTCCCGTTTCAGAATGGAAAGATCTGCAACAGGAGGGTAATATTCATCAAGCTCGGTTGCTATTGGTGGAACACTTGATGGAGGCGGGGCTTCCGAGTTCATAAATGACGCCATTTCATCAGACGTCATTTCTCTTCCGTAGAAAGAGGGCGTGTCAAATGACGTCCATATATGTGTTGAGGTTGGCTGTAATACGACTGGTTCGGGAATTCCTTCGCTACTTGAAACAATATCTCTGATTGGTTGAATTATATTTGGAGGCGTGGCATTCTTTAAAGGAACTGTTCCTACAATTATCAAAATTGGAAGACGGAGATTGACGTCTTCTTTAGGACAGCACACTTTTAACTAAAATACAAAAAAACAACAACTGGATATTGTGAAACATTCGATAGGAACGAATCAACAAGTTTAATTTCCTTACGACTATGCATTTTTAGTATATCTACGATCGTAGAAAAGTCAAATGAATGCTTTATCAAAACCATTTGAAATTGAAAAAAAGACAGTTCTGAGCTGGCTTGATTCATTGATACTGAAAATCATATATTGTTGTTGGCATGAAATGGGACAAATATACTAAAATTGTTATCATTTCTTCTTTCTTTTGACACATAAGAGGCTGACACATATATTACATATACATCACACTTTTACAGTACAAAGTTTTCGCTTTCATAAACTTCATAGCAACGGAAGTAATATTTCGCGCATGCGTGAATCGATGAGAGCAAGCATGGATGCGTATACATGCTTATTATTGATGATCAAAGTATTTGTAGTACATTATACATACATGAAATTATGTACAATCTCAATAAGGGAATGCTTACCTCGGCAACATAGTCTATGTCAATAAATGAACATCCGGGCAATGAGGTCACGTGCTGTTTTGAAGGTAATGTTAGCGTTTCATTTTCGTATATTTCTTCCTTCCCAGGTTTGATTTTCCCGCGCAATTGTTCGCATATCGTCTGCTTTTCTCGTGTGTTTGATTCAAACGGAACGTCACCGTACGTTATAATCTGAAGAAGATAATATTAGAAATAATTAAGATCACAGTCTTAAAGAATTCTGTAATACCGACATTTTATTTTTCGCAAGATGTTTGTATTTTTTTTACTTGTTTTTGTTTTGATAATATTGAGAGAATACTGCCGACTTTGAACATGTAAGTCTCACACATTTTATGTTTAATCATTTATGACATTGTCGAGTGTATAGTGTATTTAAAATGAAATAGGAAAATCTTTAACTATAATTACAAATAAGACTACCTTATAAAGTTTTAATTTTGTTGATTTTATACTTGAAACAGATCCATTATATATTTCAGCATCGCATAAAATGGATTCTCCCGAAACAAAACCACGCCTATTAATTCGGAAAGCGGCGGAGATAGTTCCTTGATTAAGACAACACCCACAAATAACACAGGAATCCTCGTCTTCTGCTCCTTCCTTTTAAAAAATTACAACAAGAATTCTACTATAAATAAATAAAATAGAAATATAATTAAATAAGTTACCTCCAATGATATAGCTTAAAGCGAGATTTTAAATCTTACCAACACTTGCATGATCACACGACCACATCCCAGCTTTCAGCCTTAAGCATCCCCCGATGTTTGCAAAGCTTACCATATAACTTTCAACCATGAACTTATTTAACTCGAGCTTGATGAACACTTTCATGTGCGGGTGTTTTTAAATTTAATTTTTCACTACTTTCCTATCTAAATGTTGAATTCTGCTTAAGCGGTGCTAGGGGCTTGGACGGAAGCTTGAACATTTGCAACTGCCGTCCAAGAACAGGCTACGTCCAAAAAAACAGCCTGCAATATTTTCAATTTTGCCATTTTGAGTGTCCTTTCATCATCTTTATAATCGAGAGGCAGGAGATTGGATTTATAAGTTAGTTCAAGTACTCCACCGAATCATACAGGCGCTATGCGAGTAGTGACACATGTATATAAATATGTTCCTATCTGTTGAAAACTTACGTAGGAATTCTGACTATTTCTTCTATTTGAAAAAAAATATGTGACGCACAAAGCATTACTTTTCTCTATTAATTATCATAGCAATTTCGATTCTGGCTTTCACATTCCCATGTAAAGCTTACAGTGTAATTTCGGCTGTTTTAGCTGATTTCACAAAGATTAAAAATCATTGAATGAAAGCTAGAAATGTCTACTAAACCATTGCTCCTTGAACGTTGTTCAGATCCAGGGACCGCTCCACACCAAACTCAACTCGACCCGACTGGTCAAGTAAACCCCATACACCGTGAATCTTTGCCTTTACCCAGTATCTGATGTATCCATGTCTACCTGTGTCAAATAAGTGAAGAACATGTACCTGTATATTTGTAAATATAATTTAATTTGGTTGACGTTTATTGATCTTTTAAATTTTAGACATTTCTGCATTGTCGCTAGCGAATGCCAGGTGATGTACAGTATCTTATAAATAAGCTAATACTGAAGTGGAAAAAGAAGAAGAAGGAAAGGAAAAGAAGGAGGAGGAGAAAGAGAAGGAAGGAGGAGGAAGTGGGGGAGGAAATGAAGGTTGATGTGAAGTAAAAGATAAAACGATGACTAAAAAGAGTGAAGAATAATAAGTAAAAAATACTAATATTTAGAAGAAAAAGAAGATAATAATGATGAAAAAGAAGAAGATGATGATAAGAAGAAGAAGAAGAAGAAGAAGAAGATGATGATAAGAAGAAGAAGATGATGAAGAAGAAGAGGAAGATGATGATGATGATAAGAAGAAGAAGAGGAAGAAGGAGGAGGAGGAGGAGGAGGAGGAGGTTTTACCAAAAGAAGGTTATATTGAAGACAATGAAGAAAAAGATGAAAATGCAAGCTTAACAGAGAAGTGAGAAGAAGATGAAGGAGAAAATGATAATAAGAAAAAACAAGAAAAAAAGAAGGAAAGCTGTCTACCTTCAAAAGAAGATGGTATATGTGGTGGTAGATCAAACTTGTAGTTAAATACGTGTTTTCCGCTCTCCAAAAACTCTATATGTGTGACATCCTTTTCTGGAGCTACGTTAAGAAAGCAAATCAATAAATGAAAGAACAGCAAGCAATACTCTCAACTGTAACACGAGAAAACGATGTAATTTTATTGTTTAAGTTTCAGCTATTCTCAACTGTCTTAGTGCGATTAAAATGTTAAGATACATACAAAAGCTTTGCTTGTGTTTCAGTTTCAACTAATACGGATATTGACTTATAAAGACCGCATAAAACACTTTCAGTTAATGGCTTGCATTTTATAATTCTTAAAATAAATAAAAAACGAAATGCTTGTTTTCATATTAACCCCATAAAATCTGTTTTTTACATTCCACCACCAAAAAAAAAAACACAAAAAACTTAACAAAAATACTACCACAGAAAACCTTATACCAAATGACTGTTCTTCATATTATTGCACATAGACAACCGTATACTAAAAGATTGTTTTTCATATTGCTCACTGATAACCTAACACCACTTATGTTTGTATTTCGTATTGTCCACAAAAAAACCCTTATAAAAATAAAAATACCTTTTTATTTCGCCTGTAGTTCGTATTGCCCATAGAAAATCATATACCCAATGCCTGTATTTCGTATTGCCCATAGAAATCCTTATACCAAATTATTTGCTTTTCATTATTGCCCACAGATAACCTTGCAACAAATGATTGTTTTTCATATTGCCCATAGAAATCCTTATACCAAATGATTTGTTTTTCATTATTGCCCATAGATAACCTTATACCAAATGATTGCTATTCATATTGCCAATAGAAATCCTTATATCAAATTTTTTTTCATATTGCCCATAGATAACCTTCTACCAAATGCTTGTTTTTCATATTGCCCACAGATAACCTTATACCAAGTGATTGTTTTTCATATTGCCCACAGAAATCGTTATACCAAATGGTTTGTTTTTCATTATTGCCCATAGATAACCTTATACCAAATGATTGTTTTTCATATTGCCCATAGATGACCCTGTCGTATTTATGTACAGGAAACTTTACATCAGGTCCTTATTTGACTATTTTGTTTTACCTTTCCCGAACACAATAATAGAATGTTTTATGTATTCCTCTGTCTCGTAGAGTTTTCTTTCCTGATCACCAAAACCTTCCTTCCATTCAGCATGGCATCTTCCTCTTACTTTAAGCTCTATACCTGCGGTGAATGAAATGTTCGAGAGAGATTTGTTGCCCCTTACCAAGGTATGACGAAAATTGCCAAACATTTTGTATTGATATTTCAATACTGACCGAGAATAAGTCAAGCGGTATAAATGGGGAAATTTACTTGGAGCGTATGCCTTAAACAAAGGAAAAAATATCTGCCAAATCGGTAGCATTCTTCAATATGAGAGTTACAACATAGCATAATTATGTCAGAATTAACAAATAAAAGCGACGAAACATCACAAATTGAATAAAAGGTAAGTAGTCGTTGTTACGCTTTTGGCATTTCAGAAAATATTTCATATTTATTGTACAATTTGCCATTATTTACTATACATTTCTATATTTAAACTTTGTCATATGTATGGATAATTTTAGACACCTGAAAATTATTATAAATTTAATTTAATTTTTTAAAGATTTTTTTTACCTTTGTTCTGCATAAATTTATGGATTTTTTGTTTATATTTTAAAGCATAAGTAAAATTTTCTCCGGACATTTTTCAACTTCAAAACAATTCTGTTAAGTTTAAACTGTCTTATTCGGAGGAATATTTTTATTGGTAAGTAAAATAGAGAAAAAGGACTTCCATAAAGAACATTTAAAGCGCTAAAATTTAACAAAGTTGCAGGCAGACTCAGTTTGATAGAGCCTGTTTATAGACGGAATGTGCAAGCTATCTTCCACGCCTCCCTAACACCAGCATCAGCAAAACTCAACATTTTACATAAATTTTTACAACATTGAATTTAGGAACGGCTTTAATCTTGAGCGATAATTCTTACCTTGAACTTTCAGACCTTTCCTCACCGTCATTATAAGTTTCCCGTGCACAGTTTGGCCTGCCAGAAAGTTCCCATCAGAACTATTCTCCAAGCTTATTTCTAATTTGTCAAGAATACTCATTGCTTAAATTTCCTGTATTGTTGTTTTCCCTAGAAATATATCTTGTAAAGGAGTCCTCGAACATTCGGAAGAAATGTAGATTCTAGATCTACAGAAATCGATTCGTAATAAGCGAAAAAAAACAACGGTAACTTAATTGTAGCTCTGCTTAAAGAGATCACTTATTGATTGCTTAGCACTCTCGTTGGTGTCATTTTTTAACGTAAAGTTTTCGGTTGAAAGCTTTTGAGTTATGCAAATGGACCAACGACTCATGTCTTGACAGTGTCGTTTGTACTTGTCCCATATTTTGATAGTTTCCGGAAGCATGACACGTCTGTAATGGAAAGCATATTGATAGTTTCACATTTCTTGTCACAAAGGGTTCTAGTGTAAATGTATAGGTTTGCATCAGTTGGGTACGAGATTTTACAGAAATTTTTACAGCTCAAGTAAGATTTCGTGTATCTTTTTGGGTAAAAACCGACACTGAATATACATTGACCAATGAAAAGCCTGAGATTTGAGACAGAGCTAAAAAAGTTTCTAAACACGAACACAACCATTTGACGTATTGATCTGACACTTTTTACGATTTACGTTATTTAATTTTTTTTTTCACGTTTTGTTTTTTTACATTTTGTATTTTGTATTTTGTAGTATTTTTTCCTTTCTTTTGTAAGATAATCCAGGTACATTAAGTCCATATAAACCGAAATCCCTGAAGAATTATTTGGTCCAATTTGTAACTGAAGAACATACAAATAAATAAGAACAAACTACTAAAAACTGCGACTCATATTTTGTAATTTAATTTAAAAAATCTTTTCCAATCAAAAACCTCAAAACTTGACACAAATAAAAAAGGAATCGATTACACGCTGTCAGCTAAGGTATTATACATAAAATACCATCAGTTTGTAAAAGGTATTGTTCGATATTATAACGTTATACGATAATGATCGATTTATAGATTGATTATTTGATGGATAATCTACTGAAGGTATCTTTTGTTTTCTTGAGTTTTGGCCAGGTTAAATGACTCATTATGGAACGGCATGATTATAAACTGGGCGTCTATCTTGGGGTACATGATATATTGTTGGGAGTGCATTTGGATACTTATGTATGTATATGTAAAGAGACCGGGGACATATCTGCTTTTTTAATTTCCCTCTTCCTGATAACACAGATTAAAATATGAATGCAATACAGTTCGATATGTATGTAAAGAGACCGGAAATGTGCTAAGAAACTAAAAATGTAAACAAACAGTAATTTAACGCTAGGAGTAGAAGACAGAATTTATAACAATATACCGAGTTACATATTATCAGTCAAAATTTTACGTACATTTTTTTTATTAATTCATCAAACGATCGTGAACGCGCTAATAGTCCCATTTGGGGAAAATATGTTAGCGAAACTCCGATATATTCATAAAATTAAAAATAAAGAAATAGAAGCTGTGTCAATATCAACTTCGAGCTCGCCATACGTATATGAATTGTAAATTGCGAAATAAATAAGCAATCGTCTGCTTTTGTTATCCGATTTAATAAATTTCGCCTACTTCATTCACTATTTTAGCGCCTACCTCATTCCTTATTTTAGCGCCTACTTCAAATCGCCTCTGTAGTCGAGGGGTTAGAGTCGATGACTTCTAATCCAGTTACCTCTCTGGCGTGGGTTCGATCCCCGGGAGATGCTTTGGTAGTTTAGCGAGGAAGAAGGTAGTCTAGTACTGGTGTAACTCTCCAGGAACGATGGTTAGGAAACTACCCGCCTATATGACTGAAATACTGTTGGACAAAGGCTTAAATTGAAACAAACAAACAAACAAATAAAAAATTCCTTATTTTAGACGCCTACTTCATTCCTTATTTTATACGCCCACTTCATTCCTTATTTGAGCGCCTACTTCATTCCTTATTTTATACGCCCACTTCATTCCCCTTTTTAGCGCCTACTTCAATCCTGTTTTTATTGCACCAACCTTATTCCTTCTTTTTGCGCCTACTTCATTCCTTATTATTATAAAACAATTGGCATTAACTTCAAGATATTACTTTAAATTATAACAAAGTTTATTGATTTAATTTGTATGACTCAATGAAGTGCTGTCGTTTGTCTGGTGTTAAAAAATACATATGCACGGGGATGGAACCCCATATATGTATCTCAAAAATGAGCATCGGTAAAAAATATATGTAAATTTCTGCTGCACCAGATGTGAAGCATAACACCAGATGTGACTGTAAAAATAGGTCAATCGCAGGGTAAGTTTTCATCTTTTTAAACATTAATTTAAAATTCAATTCATTTTTTCAATAAAACCGAAATGTGATTCTACCTTCTTGACTCTCCTCTGTATTACCCATTTTTGTTTTGGATTTCTATGCACTTTTCATCGAGATATTCTTTCCGTCATGGGTTCTGGTGTGTCTTAAACATGCAATGTGAATGAAATGAAATGTCACTAAACGGACTCAAGAAACAGAGATTTTTTCCGATGCTCATTTTTGAGATACATATGGGGTTCCACCCCCGTGATATGCAACGCAATGTCGGGCTAAAATTTGGAACCCATAATGCGGATGTACACATTGTATGATAGAGAAACACGCGTACATCACATTGTATAAGGTTTACACAATAATGACCAATTTAACCATTAACAACAACAACAACAACAACAAAAAACAAAAACATGCACGTTTTTTTTACATTTTTATATCATCAATTATTGTACTTTCAGTCAAATCTTACATAAAATGAATTAAATATCGCAAAAGTATTGCCGGGGTTAAGCTTATTCAAAAAAAATGATACTACAATGTACATGTATATCTTATGAAAAATATTCAATACCATTTCAAGTACTTTACTTTTTAAAGTAAGGCTTATGCAACAGCAGAAAATATTTATAAATCTTAGTAAATATTACGGATTGCAACAAAACAGTCTTTTCTTTAATATAGAAAGGCCCCACTGAAGGCTGTCGCGTAACACGTGTCACTTCCATACAACTGACCGTCTGTTACTTGAATCCAAACAGATTGTCCACGTAGTACCGGAATAACAGCAACCCCAGTACTCTGAACGCTTTTTCCTCCAGGATTAATAACTGCAGTACTTTTGAGAACGTTTTCCAGCATAAGATTGGCCTTTATTTGTTTAGTATCCCAGTGTTCTATTTGGAAGGAAAACATGTACAGGTTTACTTACATGTAAGAATGTATTAGTTTCTTTACAGGATCTTTTTTGTTATCAATATGCTCATCTTCATTCATAACTTCGTGTTTGCAAATTAACAAAAAAGAGATAGCTTTGTCACGCTAAACTTACAAGGGGATGCTCGGTTTTAGAGATAATCTCTTAAATCTTGCATTTTGTCTTAGATTGTAAGATGACATTTTTAAAAGGTTATTTTCAAATAATACCACTTTAGAGAAATCACGAACGTTCTTTTTATTATTTACAATAGGGAATGTCCATGTGATAAAATAAATAATGCATTTCTGAAGGTACGCACAGACAAAAAAATGTTTACGCCCGCGTCCATCATTTGAACCTTTGTGTATACCAATACATTGTATTCCGAGTAAAACGGAGGGCAAAATATTATGCTGCATTAAGTGCATGATTTCGTGCATGCACCATTCCCTCTTAAGGGAATATACAAACAAATTTCTTCAAACAGATATTTTGGAAGTATTCTTTTTCATAATTACATTCAATTGAAATCTTTTGCAGCAGATATATACGTTTGTACACTTTTGCTATACATGGTTTGAAGATGACTGTATATTGTATGTTAATATAATTATTTTCACGCTCTTTTTACATAGTAAAAGCGTTTAATTCAGATCATTAATAAAACAAGGTCTTTTAAGGACGATTATAATTTTAATTTCAAATCATGATATTATTGTGTGCAACTGCAACAATTGATCAGTTGCTATTAGTAGAGAAACAAATAAAGGGATACAACTCCTCAGATAGATACAATATATGTCCGAGTATTTTCCTTTTAATATAATATAGACATGCATTTATGTAGCCTCGTTTTAAACTTTTTTTGTACGATTATATTGACATTGTATTTTGATAAAACATTCTGTAGAAATGTTTATCAATGAATAAAATGTAAAGGATTATGTTACGGTTATATACGAGAAATTAGTTCATAGATTATGCATTACTGAAAAAGGGCAAAGTTACTCCTAGTTTATTTGAATAAAATGCTTTGATCAAACAAAAATTGGAAATGAAAATACAGAAATAGAAAATGAAGAAAGAGAAATTTCGGTTTCTAAATTTGCAAAAGTTCAGCATTGTCTTTGTTTGAAACGTTGAAGGTAAGAATTTTTTTCTCGAAAACTATTCTGTCACTCGCTTCACCATTCTTCGATAGGATGTTTGCATCAGATATCAAAGAAAATTCAATGAACGAAGTGGACCTACATGGAAAGACATTTAAAGCTGTTGAAGAGTTTTTTTTTTAAATGTTATATACCCAGATTCCTTAGTCGAAATAACTCAGGAGAACGTTTTCAGCATATTACCATTGATTGAAGAATATTAAGTTCAGCATCGGAAGCCGAAATGTATTAAAGTTATTTTAGAATACGTTCATCAACATCATGTTATTTATGAGTTGTTTTGTTTTGGTATTAAATGAAGCATGTATGTATGACTTGACAAAAGTTCGAGAAGAATATGTTACAAAGATTCAAGTCTACAGAAAGTGAATATTCTTGCAGCAAACGAAAAATGTCTAATACCAGCTGATATCTTGATATGTAAGAAGAGTCGAGCGTCTTGAACAAACTGTATATCACGTTTGATGTGAATAAGTCGTTACACAAGGAAAAAGTAATAAAGTCTGAAACTTGGAAACAAAAAAATAAATAAATACAATTACAATGTATAACTGTTTGAAAATGTTTGAACAATACATTCAAGACAAAGTTATTAATGAACCAGAAAGTTTGCTTTTTAAGTTATTTCCCCCCGGATTATTTTATCTAAATAATTGTCATTCTCTTGCTTTGCACCAAGGTCAGGTTATTAGCGACACACTTTTACACAAATGAAGGTTATGAGAACAGATCTTATTTTATTTAGAGAAGATTCATATGAATTTATATTCAGCACTTTAAGAATTTCGTTTTTTTCCCATGGTGTCTTGACGAAAACATGTAACGGTGATTAGCATGCATATCTTTAACCTCAATTAATTAAGAAATAAATTCATTAATAATTTGACTGTATTTTTTTTTTATAAAACAATATTGTTTTTTTAATGTGATATTCATGTAAATAAATCTATGTAAAAACTTTTTATATACATATTACTTTTGTTTTGCCAATCCGTCCTGAAAAATACATACCCCCCCCCCCTAAAAAAAACAAAAAAACAAAACAAACAACAACAACAAAAAACCCCCAAAACATAACAAAACAAACAAAACACACACACACACACACACAAAACAGGTACTACTCTTGTTACGCTATTATGTAAATTTAATATCCTATATTCGTTTTCCAAAGAGTTGACATTGATATTTA